CAACCCTTTCCAACATCCTCAAAATCCTCTCACACCCTTTCCTCTCCGCCAAGTCTTCGAACGTCGTCCTCTCTCCATGGATAAAACAAGTCGCGTCCACCAGCTCCTGAAGCGTCTCTTTGTCTTTGGCTTCAAGCAGGACTTGACAGATTTCCATGGCGACGGCTAAGTTACTCATTCGTTAGCATTCGCTGTCCATTTACTGTCATATGGTCATACCCAACCGAACTCATCTCCATTACACCACACCACCACGTCCCCCCAAACCAGGCAGGCTAGGCGTGCACTCAATCAAAGGAAGGGAACTCAAAAGATCAATCAGCAGATGATGACAAAGACGTACCTTCCTCGCCCTCATCAATAAAATAAAACAATGCATTCCGCCTTTTCTGACCTTCCTCCTGCCAAAGCAGTATAGAGGGAACATCGAGGTTGATGGCGTCCGAGGTCATGCTGAGGGTCTTCCAGACTGCTTCGTCGTCGTGGCACGAGGTTTGCGAGCTGAGGAGGGTTTTGCGCATGATGCGGATGCCGTCGATTTGGTGGTTTGTGAGATGGCCTTCGGGGGGTGGGCCATGTCGGCTTGGGTCGTCATCTTTGTTCTTGTTCTTGGGGAAATACGGGCATTGTTGCTTGGAGTTGTAGACGAGTTTGTTTGTATTTGGATATTTGGAGGGGGGGGGAGTGGTGATGAAATGGGAGACATGGATGAGTGACTAAGTGGCTTTATAGGGTTTGTTGTTGGTAATGAGGCCAAGGAAGGGATGAATGGTTCATATGGATGCCTGGATGACTCCCAATGACTTGACGGGCAAACGAGAATCTTCCTGCTTGTGCTTGTTTGTTGGGGCATAAGATCAGATGGAAGATTGTGATTCTGTAAGGCTGTGAGCAAGCAATTGTGAGTGCCCTTGGGCGCGTGAGGGCAACAAAGAGAATGGAGTAGAGGAAGTGACCAGTTCAGTCTCGCTTTCTGAGCAAACGAACTGGGCCATGGACAAAAGAACAATCGGTTTGTCGCCAGTGAGTGATGGAACCAACGTGGATTATTCTCAACAGATAAAACCTGCAGTACAGGTCATTTTTCGACCTCTCATTCTCGTTTCCTGTCAGGATGAACAAAGATTCTCTTTCCTTTCCATAAGCGAGTAAACAAGAAGCGGAAGAGTTTCGACGTCAACAGAATCAGGGTCCATGAACCACTGACCAGGATGCTCGGGCCGTCCCGAACTCTGACCGTAACCTGGAGGAGTCACATTTCCGTTCCAGATGTCGAACGGCGAACGGCATAGTCATTGGCGTTCTGGAAACGGTCGGGTGGAGCTCAGATGCTATGAACCTGAGATTATGTTTTCGGGAAGTACATCGCGCAAAGGTGTCATTTCATGTCGTTCGTTGCCTTGAACTGACTGTGCCTGAACATCCCAAGCCAGACTTGACATGGCGTAGCGACAGGTCTTTACTGCCGCGGGTGTCCAAGCCTGAGCCCAGCTTCAGTTGCATCAGATAATGAATGAGTGACCATAAACGCCGCAACATGGATGAGATTGTGAGGTGTGTGCAAGTTGACAGCTGTGATGGGGGGCGCTGCCAAAAAGGCCCAGAACAAAACAATCTTGGCACTGACCAGGGCGCAGCCTTGAGGTTACATAAGCAAGACCTTGCGGGATTGAGGATCCACCTCTGGCGCTAGGCTGTTTCTAGCTCGCGCGGCATGCTCAAGGTGCTTGTCGCGTTTTTGACTGCAGGCGATCGCAGGTGCAATTCAACACCCGCCCACTTTCACGGGCAACCACCACCACCTCGATAGCGTCCATTCCTCCACCTAACAAGTTGCGTGACGTCCTTCAACTTGGAGATCCCTTGAGAAAACCCGCGATTTGGACTTCTTTTTTTTTTTTGGGTGCCACCGAACTCTGCGCCTTGAACTGTTACGAACCATCAATCTTGCTGTTACATCAACCAGTTTGCACTCGATCGCAAACAAGAGGAAGACAGACATCCCTCGGAAGCAAGCTCGAACGCAGCTTCGTCCAACCCGCGCATCTCGACGCCGCATTATCAACCTCCCTCGCTTCCACTTGCGACTTCGACTTTGGGCTCGATTAGCCATCAGCAATTGGCAGCGTTAGGACGGGAGATATCCACAAACTCAGCAACATAATACCAAGTGCTGACTGGGCCTGTCCCCGACCGTCATGAGATTACCATAGTCGTCGAGAATTACACACTACCACACCAACTACCTACCTTCACAATGGCGCGCTCCGAAAACCAACAATCCGTCTTCTCCTCTTATGCGCCGAGGTTACGCACCTACAACAACTCCCTCCTAACACCCGTTCTTCCCGGTACTGCTCCCGCGAACCCACTTGCGCGCACAACGAAGCGCGGCACTACCATCATCAACTATGCCGAGGACGGCTATGACGACTACGACGATGACGACGACAATACCCGCAGCCGCCGTCGCCCTACAGGTCTTCGCAGCGTACAGCCCAACGACGACGGTACTGTCAAGGCCGACCCTGCCGACAAGGTTGGGAAGGATACGCATGAGCCCGTAGAGGTACAGGGCATTTGGCGAGACTGGATGGGAAGGTTCCGCCAGGGACGATCCGACGCACAAAACTTTGCCCAAGCCAGCCTTCCTCTCACACTTATCCCTATACGGATTGACCTCGATATCCCATCATTCACTCCGGGCTCGTCTCTCCCCCCGAATGCTGCGAACCTGGACCCCAACAGTCCTCTTTTCAAACCACAGGAGCCCACCGTTCCATACCGGTTACGCGACACGTTTCTGTGGAACTTGCACGAGACGTTGATTACCACCGATCAGTTTGCGACCATCCTGGTCCAGGACTTGGATCTTCCTAACAGGAATCAGACCATATCCGAGATCAGCAAGCAAATAAGGACACAACTAGAAGAGTACGCCGGTGTTGCTCTCCATCCTCTCTTCCACTCCCATCGCGACCGTCCAGCAACCGAGGCTCCCAAGCCCGCGAACCTGCTCGAAGCCGCCGCGACATCGACCTCTAATACCCCAGCAGCCAACGGCAACAACGCCGTATCAACGCCAACACCCGCTGCTGCCAATGGCACTTCAGCAGTCCAAACATCCACCGGCGAAATTACCGCCGCCGCGACCCCGATCCCCCCAGACGCCGACGACGACTTCAGCCCTGACGACACGTACCGCTGCATCATCAACCTCAATATCAACCTCTCCTCGCAAGTCTACACCGACAAATTCGAGTGGTCGCTCCTCCACCCGCCAGGCACCGCCGAGGCCTTCGCCAAGCAAACCTGCGCCGACCTCGGTCTGCACGGCGAGTGGGTACCGGCCATGACGCACGCCATCTACGAGGCCGTTCTCAAGCTGAAGAAAGAAGCCTGCGAGTCCGGAGGCCTGGTAGCCGGCTGGGGCAACACCGCGCTGGGTGGCGGTGTCGGCGGCGTCGAGTTCCCCAACGACGCGGCCGTCACCGTAGGGGGCGAGGGCGCCGGCTGGCGTTACGACCCGGAGCATCTGGCGGACGATTGGGAGCCCAAGCTGGAGACGCTCAGCAAAGAAGAAATCGAGAAGCGCGAGGGCGATCGCGAGAGACAGATTCGCAGACTGCGCAGAGAGACGGCGAGGTTCAGTAGCAATACTGGCATGGCGGGCGGCATGCCGGTTGGTTTCGGATTTGGCGGGCTTATTGAGCAGGAGGAGGAGCGCATGGGTCGTGGGGAGAGGAGCAAGAAGAAGAGAAGGTTTAGAAGTTTGTCGCCGACTAGTGGTAGGCACACCCCGGATGTTGGAGGCGGTGGCGGTGGTACAGGCGGCGGGTATGGTGGTGGTGGATCGCTGGCGGATAATGAGCGGAACAGCTGGAGATGCTCGTGCTGTAGGGTTTGGGGCACCAGTGTTTGGGCAGTGAGGGATGGACCTTATGGACCGAGGGTAAGTTCAAGTATACAAGATTTGTTTGCACGGGATGACGACGGATGCTAACGAACTTGTGCCACAGTCACTCTGCAATAACTGCGGCTTCATTTACGAGAGGGACAGGAAACTCCCGAGGTGGGCTAGGAACCTTCACGGAGCTGACCCTAAGCCTCTGTGAAGAATAGACGTTGAAGGGGCTGGAAAAGTTTGGCCGAGGGGATTACTGTCTGGCGTTGGCGTCTTGATGGAGAGAAAAGTGTCTCTCTCACTCAGCTTGACTTCTCTTCTGAAAGACGATGTATTTTGTATTCAAGCTATCTGTCTGAGATCGACGGCTTGAGCTCATTCAGGTGTTTGTGGTGTAGAAAAGGAAAGGAAAACCAAGCAGAGGAACCGGCGTCATGGCGAGGCTAGGATAGGAGAAGACTGCGTTGCTTAACTTTGCATTAGTTGAATACCAGTTATGTTCTCTAATAGCTTGCTGTCTCCATTTGGTTTTGAAGGTCTCACAAGCTTCCCGATTTGCTTGTCTGTCATTCGAGTCCTCTTATATGTTGGTAATTGAGTGTAAAGAGGGCTTTTAATTTTGAAAAAAGAAAACTATAAAGTCGACAAAGCCGAGAGCTGACCGACCTTCGAAAAATTCATTTCGAAAGAAGTTGACTAGTGACTGGACTGCCTTTTTCAAACACCTAGGACAAAACCGATCTCGCAAATCATTTTATGTTCAATGTTTGATCCCGTCTTTGTAACAATGTGTTTAGGCTACTTCCGACTACGGCGGTGTCAGCGTGAAAGACAGGTACTCAACAAAGCCTACTACGGACAATCACACAACAACATTTATCATAACGGCAGAGTAAATGGCAGAGAATTTTAGAAGAAAAAAAAGGAAAAAAAAAAAAAAAGAAAAAAGACGTCCCTGGTGATGACAAAACCATATATAGTAGAACTAGTTCGTACTGGAGGGGTGTTACGAAGAAAAAAAGCCAAAAAAGTTATGGACAATACCGGATTCGAACCGATGACCCGAGGCCACCGGTTTCCGGAAATGCAAAAAGATTGGACAATATGGGATTCGAACCCATGGCCTTTCACAGCCGCATCTATGAAATGCGAAGCGAAAATCATACCCCTAGACCAATTGCCCATTTGTAGCTTTTTTGATGAATAAGCTTGTGGTTTTTGTACTTATATATTCCACATGCGCATCATTCCAGATCCCGTAACGTTAACCATCGCCGTATGTGTTCCATGAGTGTTCTGCCCAACTGGGTCTACAGCAAATACACCACCTTATCTCGTACTCGAACTTTGATTTCTCTTTCTTTTTCCTTTCTGTCTTGGGAAAAACTAAGGTACCGTGCATCCACGTCCCTGCAGTATCTATCCTGCTAGCACTTGAGTGGGTTGGGAAGGTGGAAGAGAGAAGGCGCGAGTGGTGCTGAGTGCAGGAATGGTTGGTGAGAGGTGGTGCGGTGGTGGGGAAGTAGGTGAGTGGATGAAGGAATGAAGTGATGATGCTATTCCCAACGATTAATGCGGTCATCCTTTTCGTACTATCAGTATTTCCCAGAGCACTGGTTCATTGGGCTTTGTCAAGCAGTTGGGGAGCATTTGATGGGAATTTGGGATATTTCACGACGTGCCGGTCGAGACGTGATGGACGTTGGAAGCTTGCCCCCCGTCTGGAAGGGCGAAGCTGTCATTTGGGGACTTGGGAGTTTGTGTCTTGATCGGAGATCCCCAAGCCGGCGGTTATCAATTTCAATGATCAAGTCCTTTGAAGAGGTTGCTGAAGCTATCGAATGCATGATCTATCTGTTGGTGATAGCGACTTGCATTTGAAACTCGATAGGAACGACAAAAGCGCTTTGCATCCCACGATGGATGGATAGCATGTGCTTTGTGCTATTCCTGTAAGGGTGCGTTCGGCAAACCTGGAAGTGGCCTTCTGAAAAGTTCAGAAACCTAAATTCAGAAACCTGTTCGAGTATCTAAGAAATTTTTTGTTAGGAAATCTTCAGAAAGATCCATTTCAGAATCGCGTTCGAGTGATCTGAAAGGTTTCCGGGCGGAAATCCAGTTTCATGAACGGCTTGCCCCACAATTGCCCCAACCCACCAATCACAAAACACCATTTCCTCAGAATTTCAGAAAACCATTTCAGCATCCAAGAGCTACTGAAATCTGATTCTGAAATTCGATTCCTAGCCCAGATTTCAGGACAGCCTGCGCAGTACCTCCTGAAAGTTTCATTTCTGAAAGCCATTTCCAGGTTTGCCGAACACACCCTAAATGTAGCTCCCGACACTCTGGAAAGTCTGGAAGAGGTGCGATTTGCTCGAGCGAACTTGATGACTAGCATGAAGCGATATCGCTGCTATGATGGATCAACATGGCAGGTCAAAAGTGAAGGCGTCGAGGCTAAGGTGCGATAGGGTTAACTATGTGCTGGTAGGTGCTCGTGTGCTCAGGGTCGGAGGACATTTGACATGTGCGTTTGGTGGGGCGCATTTGGTCGGGAGGTGGGAGGAGATCTTTAGCACCTTCCTAACTCTGTCGTGACTGCAACCCCATAAGGGCGCCGATTAATGAGCTCAGTTCTTGGCGGCATTGCAACATGAAAAGGTGTGCGAATCTCTCACCTGTCTCCGCACTTGCAGCTTTTTGTGATACCTACACCAAGTATTGATCAATTAGAGAAAACAAATTGTGCCACGGTCGTGGAAAAAGGATGGTGCGTACGAGGTTGCGCAGTGGTTGGTGTTCTGATTACCCCATCTTCCTATCACGACCGGTAGTGGCTTTGTCCCGTGTAAGTCGAACCCCTGTCTTCTCAGAACCTTATCTCTATTTGTGATCAACGGCCTCTGCTTTGGTTCTTTGTTCTAGCTACGAACCTTACTGACAGTCCTGGCTGCCGACCAGACTGACTGTACTCAGAAACATTCCCCCACGCGACTCAGCTTCCGGTCATTAGTACTTCAATCTGGGGAAATATCGTGGGAAAGTGCTAAAATTGGGCCTTTGGTACGCATGAACAGCTAAGACGGGAGCGCGCCGTTGTGGTTTGGCGGCCCGACCAATGTTCAAGCTCGTACAACCCCAGAGTCTTGGTTGCTATCGGGACCATCGACTAGCATCCAATGGACGACATCAACGCAAGAAAAGCCAAGGTACGCCAAGGGACCGAGAGACACTAACAACGAGAAACAGACCTTAACCTCCTCCCCGTTTCAGCACTGATATCGTCCTTGTTGTTGGGGGCTGGATGCGCTGAAGAAGGCGTGATACGAGCTAGGTCGGATAAAGCTATGAGACGAAAGTCAGCAGGGATTGGTCACTTGGGTCTCGACCAAAAAGCTGGGAATCTTTGGTTCAGGTAGGTCCAAGATTCAAGGTGATGATCGACCACGGCGTGCAGTCTTGGCTCTCGGGCTGTTGAAATGGCTTGATGGATCTTTGTCTTGTCTCCTTCGGAATGCGGACGACGCCCATGTCGGGGCCCTTGTTTGGTTCGGGTAGTCTCATGCAATTGCAGGCTGTATGTCGCGGAAGAAACGAGGGTGAGAAGTTAAACTATATGTGGCACCTTCAAATATCTGGCGGATGCGCGATTGGTTTCACATGGCGGCAAAATCCACGAGAAATGATACTGTCTTCCATGACTGCTTCACCTATCACGCAATAAAAGCAGTGAAATGCAAAAGAGCAAGAATTTTGGTGTGATGGAGATCTTGGAGTGGTCTGGAAGTTAAGATGTTAGCGTCTGCAGAGGGAAGATCTTCTGGCACCAACATTTCTTTCTCACAAGACAAGAAACTCGCATCGTTCCTTTCAAACCTTACACAGACGTCCCAGGCGCCTTGATCCCTGGAATGGAAGGAACAATGGACCCTAGGTACGCAAATGCGGGCCTTAGCTCTAGGGCAAGGGTACCTAGGTGTCCACCTGAACCACCAAAACCTTATGTCCGGCCATCGTCAGTCCTGGGCAGGGGTCTTGGTCTAGGCCATCAAGCCAACTTAACCTTCTCTGGTGGAGTATCACGTAGAATTGGTATGTGAACGGTTCAGGCAGTTCTCATGAAATGTATTTCGCCTTCATGTGATGTCTTTGTCTCATGCATCCTCTAACGCTCTCTTTCCCCCTCTTCATGATCAAGTGATCTCGACCTCTTGGCAGTGGTCCATAAGAGGAAGTTGCGATTGAAGAGCAATGAGGTCGGAGAATGTGCGACTGAAGTGTCTGTGGTTGCCGAATCCCCTCCGTCGAAGCTTTGACCTCCCCACAGTGCAGGTACACAGCTCCAAAAGCTCATGCCTCCGAGTTTGCAGAGCATCCTGAGCACATTCTCCAGTCATCTTGTGCACTGCACTGCCATCATTGCTCGCGGCTTCTTCTCCGTCATGCCCACGATAATCCCCAAGAACCTCGATCCGGGCAATGGGTAGCCAATATCTGACAGGCCATTGACAGGGTTATCTTGCCTCCTTCATCACCGCCCTTGTGGGTTCGAGAACCATGTTCAGAACCGCCCTCCCAGCCGCCACCCCACCCTGTCTAACCCAGTGTCTTTCCCTTTCTCGCCGTCTAGGCGTCCATCACTGCGAGCCAAGATGCAGCGCCCAGACGGGGTAATTGCTGCAAGGGTTTGGCAAACATGGCATCAAGTTTCATCAGCTACATCTTCCTCATCCAGAAATATCCTGTTCACCATTCTCTTGGCCCGCCCGTCTGGGAAGGTCATTACTACTAGGCACTCACACCCTTTTCTAGTAAAGCCAAGATAAGTTAGTCGGGAGCGTTGCAGAATGCAGGTGTACAGCTTCATGTGGGTGCTGTGATGTTGAGGCATGTGGCGTGCTTCCCCGAGTGGTCTGTGGTACCATGTATAGAAAGGAAGATATCAACCTCTTTCCCCCCTCGTCTGTGTCATGCAGCCATCCTTCACGTCTTAAGAATTTGCTCCTGACTGTCCATCCATACCACATATCTCAGCAGTTCATCAGCCTCATCGGCGTGTTGACCGCACGCCATGGCGACCACCAGAGATGAGAAGGCAGTCAACATCACTCCTGCCGGGAGTGATCAGGCTCCTGCTCTTTCGGAAAAGTACGATGAGAAGGTCGGTGGCGTTCATGAGATCGGCCTTGACCGCATCGACTCGGAGGAAGCACAGGTTATTGAAGGGTAAGCCGAGTTCGCTCATCCCCTATGGAACTAATACCAGAGACTGACTGTACAGGCACCTCGATGTTACCGAAGAAGACCTCCTCCAAGCGAAGGCTGTGGCTGAATCCCTTAGTCTCGAAGAGGTCGTCAAGTTGATGAAGAACGTCGTCAAGATGCATGGACGCGATCCCAACTTTCCCCATGTGGTTCTTGAAAAGATCCAAGCATTTCTCGGTGAGTGTCTGCTTGCGTAGTCCAAAGCCAAGCCATTTCCTGTTCTGAGTTGGTCTGACACGTCCACAACACAGCCAACCAAGAAAACATCCTTGCGAACCCGGAAAAGCACCATGATATCATCACCGAGATGAAGATTGAAGCTGCTCTCATTCAGAGCAACAGTCCCTACGCCGAAGTACGCGCCGTTGTTGACAACACCGACGACCCTTCCACGCCGTGCTCAACCATTCGTTCTTGGACCATTGGCGTCTTATTCTCTGTCATCTTGGCCTTTGTCAACCAGGTAGGCCAGAACTGTTCTTTGCGTGAACCATCACAGTTCTCATAGCTGACCATCAACACAGCTCTTTAGTGTTCGCCAGCCCAGCATTACGATCGAATCCAACGTTGCTCAGCTCCTTGCTTTTCCTCTCGGCAAAGCCTGGGAGAAATGGATGCCGTATTATGAGTTCACCCTCTTTGGCACCAAGCACAACCTTAACCCAGGAAAGTTCAGCAAGAAGGAACACATGCTCATCGCCATCATGGCAAACACTGCCAAGTCGCTGCCCTACACGCAGTACATTGTGTGGACACAGGTGCTGCCGCAGTACTTTAACCAATCGTATGCGAACAGCTTTGCGTACCAGATTTTGATCGCGTTGAGCACCAACTTCATCGGATATGGCCTTGCTGGTGGGTGGCATCCTTTTCCCTTCGACTGATGTGAAGGATGTTGAGTGACTGACAGAGGGA